CGTCAGCATGTCATTGAGCTTGCCAGCAATGTGCTTTGCCTTGTCGTTCAGCTGCTTCTTCATCCACTCGCGACGGCCAATCGGCGTTCCCAAGACCGTCATGCCCGTGTTGGCCGTCTCGCGCACGGCATCTGGTAAGACAGACTTGATAGCAGTGATGGAAGCGGGATGGTGGCGAGGCATGTAGAAGCGGCTCTTACTGGGCTGCAGATGAAGGCCAGCAGACTCTGCACGAGCCTTGACAATCTCCACGTCGGCCGCCACGTCCTCCGCGGGACCCATCAGTACAATGTCGTCGAGGTATTTGATGACCTTGCAGCGGTAGTCAGTGGTGGCGTCGAGGAGGCCGAGGACCTCACAGGAGTACAGGGCAAAGAAGAAGGGCGATAGCTCGTTGCCCTGCACAATGCCTTGGCCAACATCAATGTCAATGACCTTGAAGAACTTGTCGACAATGCAGTGGGTAGTGGGTCGAGCATAGTGTCGTTCAAAGGCGCGCAAGAGGCCAGGGACCTTGTCGGCCACAATCTCGTGCAGCCGTGCTCGGTCGGTGTAGTTGAAGACACTCTTGAAATCGAGGGAGAGCATGGTCCAGCCCGGGGTAGACTCACAGGCTTGAAGCTCACCAAAGGCCATGCCAACCGCTGCTGAAATGCCGTCCTTGACTCCGACGGCCAGCTCTGGACTGGCCTGTAGCAAGTGGGCAATATGGGGCTGCTGTTGCTTGAGCAGAGCGCGGTTGACAACCTTGTTGAAGATGGAATCCGTGCCCACGGGTCGAAACTTGCCGTTGGCCTTCTCCCGCTACTGTTGGCCTTCTCCAAGATACTTTAGTTGATGGAGCCAAGGGCATGTGCTTTGCCTTGTTGTTCACGTGTCAGGTGTGACCAGGGAACCGTTATGCCCGTGTTGACAACCTTCTTACTGCAAATTGCTGATCTTATCGTCCCAACCTTTATCTGTACATAGAGAGCACGCAATCACGATCTTGACAAGCGACGCAGGCTTGATATCGCATGTAGGTCGTAGCGTTCGCATGGCAGTGATGACACAGCGAGCAAAAGGCTTTCTTCAGCGAGCTTGGCGTAGGGTGTTGATAGAAGCCATTGAGATTGACCTGTTTTTCAGACTTGTTCTGCGTGTCCAGCCGTGATTCTGATGTCAGGGTTGGAGGTTCACACGTTAAGTTTATTTACAATGTTTGGGCACTGAATTTTCGCACAGGTGCGTGGGGTTACTTGTCTGGCTCAAACACCTCATTGATTATGACCACCACATGGGATCAAGGAACCTTTTTTGGGCTGGTTGATCTTGATCCATGTGTGACGGCAGAGCTGTGTCCTAAACAGCGGATTGGAGCATGGCGTACTCTTGCCTGTCCGATGTGTGCCATACCGCAGACTTGATTTGTCTGACATTTGGCCATTGTCAAAAGCAGCTTGAGCCAGTAGTGTGACCATCAACACAGTTACCCATGATTCGTTCTGGCCGACGAGGAGACTGGCTTTGTGAGAAAATCTGTATTGTTTGAACAAGCACTTTTCATTCCTATTTGATAGTCATTGTCACCGCTTGAGTGTCACCTTTGAAAACAAAAGAAACACCCCTTCCCACACACAACAACGCCAAACTGACAAAGCCAAGTCTCTCTCTCACTCTCTCTCTCTCTCTGTGCCTTTCCGCGCCTCGTACCTCTGCGACCTATTGTTTCCCCCTTGTATTCTCTCGTTTTCTTTATCCTTGCCCCTCATCTCTCTCGCCCCTCGCCTTCCAGCCCGCCATCTCTCAAACGACTGCCGTCTGTCATTTCTTGACCGATTTGCTTTTTGTTCCCCTCCCCGTCTCTCTCGGTCCCCGCTCAACAGCAGTCACAGAGCAGTGTGTGTGTCTGTGTGCGTCTGTGTGTGAACCCCATCGAGCCAACAAGATGGCGAAGAAGGTTGGTCGCTGCCTCGATGCTTCTGTGCGAGTGCCATGGCTGTCCCATGCTCTTGTTGGCACTGATGGCTTGGTCATGCCAATGGCATCGCTGCCGGTGGTGAGGGAGGAGGAGGCATGCCCTTCCACTAGCATTCCAATCACAACAAAAGAGAGAATTTTTTTTTTTTAATGCGCGCGTCTTGAGTCGTTCGATACGGTAGTGCCGACCTTCTTCCTCGCTTCTTCTCTTCCTCCATTTTGTCGAGCCGTGTTGCCCTGTGACCACGTACCTCTGCACCCTCTCGCTTTCCCATTCGGGTGGTCTTGAGCGCCAACTAGTCTGCCACACGCCTTTTTTCTTCTTCTTCTTCTTCGAATACTTGGCGTTGAGCCTTTTGTTGGGTATTGTCGTGACTTGCCTTGCAGTGCCTCGCTTTCCTCGTCCTCACTTGCTTTGATGTGACGGCAGGGTTTGGGCATTCGCAAGTCGATTCACGGCAAAAAGGCTGGCAAGCAGCCGGCTGCGCCTCCGGTCGCATACGGCTCCAAGCTTGATGTTGACCGCATTCCTGTCGTGAAGAAGGAGAACCGGTGCGTGTCACTCTGATGTGTTCGGTCGCTTCTCATGACACCAATCTCTCTCTTGTTACCAATCATGTATGTGCCTGTTTGGCTTGGTGGCGCTTATTCTCTCCTCTTTAGCCAAGGCTCGTCTCGCTTCAGGTCCACTCAGAAGCGTGAGCTGACCAAGCTCACGTCGCTCAAGGATGCAGCGGCTCGTGATCGCCCACAACTGTTCATTGACAAGGTCAGGCTCTACCAGCCAAGCAGGCCATGCTCCTCTGTGCAGCTTGCTTCTCTTCTCCTTTTTCCGCCGGTTTCTCTGCCCTCTACGGCAGCCAGTATTGGCGAGGTGACAGTTATTGACTGTTGGGATATGCGCTTGCTTATTGCTTTAGCTGCAACAATGTTGTGCTGTCTTCGACTTCACGGAGGCCCTGTCAGACCTCAAATCAAAGGAAGTGAAGCGCGCTGCCTTGAACGAAATTTTGGAGTATATTACCAGCAGCCGCAAGGTATAGACGATGATCATGCCGCAGAGCGCGCGATATTCACACCTTGAACTCGCAGAAGCCTAAGAAACAACGCCTCATTTTCGGTCTCGCGAGTAGGTGCTGCAAGAGGAATTTTATCCTGAGATTGTGAACATGTTCTCTACAAACTTGTTTCGCACACTTGCCCCTCCTCTCGATCCCAACGCCGCCCTTTTCGACCCGGAAGAGGACGAACCGACGCTCGAGGTTGCATGGCCTCATCTCCAGCTCGTTTATGAGATTTTCCTCCGATTCTTGGAGAGCCCAGAGTTGCAGGTGTGTGTGTGTGTGTGTGTGTGTGTGTGTGTGTGTGTGTGTGTGTGTGTGTGTGTGTGTGTGTGTGTGTGTGTGTGTGTGTGTGTGTGTGTGTGTGTGTGTGTGTGTTTTGATGCTTTGCTCTCAAACGTTTGTTTATTTTTGGAGTTCTCTTGTCTCCACATACCTGATGCTCACGGTGTGTGCACTTGTAAAACAGATCCCCACAGCCAAACGATACATCGATCAGCGCTTTGTGACCAACCTGCTGGCATTGTTTGACAGCGAAGATCCCCGCGAGCGTGACTTTTTGAAGACGACTCTGCATCGCATCTATGGCAAATTTCTGTCGCTGCGTGGCTTTATCCGTCGCTCCGTTAACAACATTTTCTTGCAGTTTATTTACGAAACTGAGCACCACAATGGTATTGCCGAGCTGCTCGAAATCCTGGGCTCTATCATCAATGGCTTTGCTCTTCCCCTGAAAGAGGAGCACAAGAATTTTTTGCTCAAGGTGTTGGTGCCCCTTCACAAGCCCAAGAGCGTTGGAACCTACCATCCACAGCTTTCATATTGTGTGGTGCAGTTTTTGGAAAAAGATCCAACCCTGACTGAAGCTGTGGTGCAGGGCCTGCTTGACTTTTGGCCCAAGCTCAACAGCCCCAAGGAGGTGCTTTTGCTTAACGAGATGGAAGAGATTGTCGACGTCATGGAGAAAGAGGAATTTGCCAAGATTCACGTGGAGCTCTTTCAACAGCTGGCTGCTTGTGTCTCAAGCCATCACTTCCAGGTCGCCGAGCGGGCGCTTTACTTTTTCCAGAACGATTACTTGCTCACTCTCGCCAAGGAGAACATCAATGCGGTGCGATGCTTGGCTTTGCTTTGCTGGCAAACATGTGCTTGTGTGCTTTTCTGTTTGACTCTCGGCTCGCAAACTTTGCCTTTAACCCCCAATTCACCAATTTTCCTCTCCATGTTGTATTAGATCATGCCCATTATTTACCCGGCGCTGCACAAGACTTCCAAGTCACACTGGAACCGCGCAATCAATGGTCTTGTCTTCAACGCGCTGCGCACTTTGAGTGAGTGCGACAGCACTGCTTATGACAAGTGTGTGGCCACCTACGAAGCCGATCAAGAGCAGCGCCAGAAGGCTCTCAAGAATCGCGCTTCAGTGTGGGACAAGCTGACCTCTATCGCCAAGCAGAATCCTTTGTCGGCTCAGGTCGATTTGGTGGAGGTGGAGGTGCACTACCACGAGGGCGATGGTCAAATGCACGGCCCAGTCAAGATGGAGGCCACCTCTTCGCGTAGCGGCGTTCGTCGCAAGTCGGTCCTGCCTTACGACCCGGCCACAGTGCAGGCACTGTCAGATTTTCACGGCCACTCCTTGGGAGGTGATGATGGCCGTTGAGATGCCCTCAGCACCAAACTCACAACATCAACAAACGGTATCAAAAGGAAAACTATGCGATTCAAAACGGAGCGAAATTTGAACAAGGATAACCAAAAAGGAGGCGCATGTCTCTTGAGCGACACGCGCTTGCGTACACTGCCGCGAATACTCTGGCGCTCACCCAACTGATGAGGTTTAATGGTGTTTGTTTGTATTGATTTGATCAGGCTCAATGTCATCCGTTGCCCCCGCCTTTTTCTTCCTGTTTGTCGTCAGTTGTGGTGCACTTGTGGATTTGATCAACAATGCGTCGCGCAAGAGTCATGCGGCCGCTTCACCTTGTTCTACCAGTCCTGTCCTGTGTCATTTTGCAGTTCCTGGGCCTCTTTAATCGTGCATATGAACTCTTTTAATCCGCTATCCTTGTTTGCTGTTGCGCTTGTTTAGTTGCTTGTGTTTTGATGCTCGAACTCGCTGTCCTTGCATGGCTGGTCTGTTTGTTTTCGAAGGCCTGTCAATCGAAAAGGTTTACATTCTGAAGTGCTCCATCTCGTGCTCTCGCATTTGATGATGTTGCTTCTTTATTTTGGCTTTGATTGGGGAAGTTTGATTGGCGGTGATGAAATCCTGAAACCTGACTCAATTTGGCGTGTACACGGGAAGAGCGTTTTCTCAAAGTAAGATGCTAAACTTGATATCATCAGGCACTCGGCATATACTTAAGCGCCCATCACACGATAGTGAAGCAAAGGTCCATGCATCTCCTCGATGCCACGTCAGTGCTGAGACACTACCACACAAACGTAATGAGCGAGAAGCGAGAAGCAGGCGCGCAAGCAGCATCGCCAATCAACGTCAGAGCAGGCAGGGGTGTAATTCAAAGAAGGTTGCTGCTGTCGCAAGAGCGTGGTCACCAACCTGTCTTCATGTTCTTCATAGATGGCCACTGTGCCGGGTTTGCTCAACATGTGCCTTGCCTGGCGCTGGCCTTCCGTCAGCTCACTGTCATCAGACTCTCCTGAGGGACATGACAAAATGTTAGATGTAGCACAGCTCCTACGCTAGGGCGGTTGCAGCGCCTACCTCGCTCATAGGAGAGGGCAGAAGAGATGATAGGTGCATTGGTCAACAACACGCGCCCATCTGTGCCCGACGTCAACACCAAACGTTCGTGGAACGGATTATAGCGCGCGCTCGTCGTCCTAAGTGCATGAAGAACAAATGATTAACGAGTGAGCACGATGCCTTTGAACACCGTTCACTCATCTTCATGAGAGCCAAGGTGGCCTGGGTGAGAAAGTCAAGAAAAAAAAATTCCCCAAAAACATGCCAGTGTGAATGTTGGCGCATTTGATAGACCGGCCGGGCCAGGCTTCGAACATCCCAAAACTTGACGAGGCCGTCGTGTCCACCCGTAACCATGTCGTACTGTAGGCGAGGCATTGGGAGGGGATTATGAGCTTAACCTTGCAGGTGAGAACAATGCTGTCCATAACACAGCGCTTTGCTTTTTATATACACGGGGATAGTGCCATGACTGGCACCGGGCCGAACCTGAGCGCTTTCATTAAAGTCGATGGCTACAACGCTCTGTGAATGGCAATGTGGGATTTCAAACTGTACCCTGCAAGGTAGCACAAAGCGCGCCCCGTATGAATGAGGTGTCTGCTTTGTACATTTTAATTAGGCATGGGCATTGGCACCAACTCATTTGTCGCGAGGTTGAGGCAAGCCAAGGCTGAGCCCTTGCCGACATAAACAGCATCCCTGTGGTGGTAAAGAAGGAAGATCGACACCATGAATCAAAATGAGACAAAGCAAAGGAGTCAAGGTCAAGGCGCAACTTGTGACATTAGGGTCAAGAAACGCACGGGCGATGGGGCGACCAGCCGATGGTGCCCGCCACTGCAGGAGCATGCCAGTCATCCGCCAGTAAATCTTTGCCCCAAGTACAAACGTGCTTCTCCTGTTGTTGGACGGACGCTAGTGAGGCAACTGCGTGGACTTGTATGCAGGCCATTGTGGGGGTCTAGATGACCCCCTGATGTTGGTTGCAAGCTGCCTTGCCTTGTGGTTGATTGAATCGAGGACGATGACGCGATCCTGCAAGAGCACAGCTAGACCATCCCCCGAGGGAGTCCAGGCCAAGCTGGTGGGCACGCGGGTCGGTGAGTCACGGGGAAGATGAAAGTCTCACGCAGCAAGAAAAATTAAAAATAAATCAGAAAGGATGGGAAAATTTTTTCTTGTCACCTCAAGCTCTGTCAAGAGAGAGTATCAAGGACGAACCTGAGCGGCGCCGAGGGCAGAGAGAGGACGGTGTGGGTTGCGGAAAGCCGCGCGGGAGAGTCTGGATCCGCACAAGGTTCGAGTCGCTCGAGGGCAGCATGGGTTTGCTGATCACCTTCAAACAAAGGCAAGGGGCCAAGCCTCGAGTTATCCAGGTCGAGCGAGGTTCACGCGAAAAATACCATCGTTGTCGAGGCAAAGCAAAGCGTCAGCAGGAAGAGATTAGGGCGTACTGGGGTCATAGTAGATGCTCGCAAGCAAGAGTTGCTCTCGCGGATGGCCTGCCAGGAGTCTTTTTTGGGTTCCCGATTCAGACAGGATTAGATACACACAGAATTTAGGCTTGCCTGAGCAGGACCCTCGGCCAGAAGACGTACCGCACTGGCCCGTGCGGAAAAGCCGCATACTGGCTTTCCACCTGATCTGTCTCGTCGAAAAAATCAACAACATGGATCTAAACCATCAAAGTTGACCAAAGTCGTCCACGCACTCGAATGAGACCCAGGCTAAGTCGATTCACGCTCTGCACAGAGAGACATGTTGTTCATGCACCGGCCTCCAACCTGATTTTCGTGCCGAGCCGAGTTGGTGGCGACGGCAAAGCTGATGACATCCCCTTCATCTTCGGCAGACCCCTGCTTTTCAGCGAGCGCTGTCAAGGCTTTGGCCTGGGCAAACCCATGCCATGGCACGAGAACATGAGAAGGAGAGCGACCTGAAAAATACCCCTCCATAAAAACAACAACAACAACAACCCCCTTCAGCTGCCGTCGATGCGCGAGAGAGCCGACGCGACAGACCGGATACTCGAGTCCAAAAATGGCCGCCGATCGCTCCACCAGGGCCGTCATACTGGCGGTAATAACCGTAAACTCAAGCACACCAAAATATCGTCCGTGTGCCTGAGTCCGATACCGGTGCCGTGTGTCCGGCCGCCCAACCGCTGCCACCCGCTGCCATCCGCCGCTGCGGATCACTGGTCGATGCTGTTGTGGTTAAATATTAAATTGGAGAGATGGCTTTTAGTTTATGGATAACCAAAACCGCCAAAATTTAAATCCACCGTCTTGACTGACAAATCAAGACGCCACACACACACACTCTCTCTCTCTCCTTTTTGCAAGTGGGATCTTGAAGGTTCACGCAGAACTATTGACGGCAGCGACCCTGGAGCCTTCTATTTGCCAGAAAGGACAACATCATAGGAGTGGGACTGTGGTGTTTTGACCCTGAAGCAAAATGGACGAGAGTGACGATTGGAGTGATCTGTCGCTTGACGGAGGCCATGCTGCAGTGCGAGGTGAGTTGAACGTCTCGTCTGCCGAACCCACCCCCCACCTCCCCGTCCAAGCGCGTGTCCCTTTCCGTGCTTCAATCAAGACTGATGGTCTGCCCCCAAAACCAACCCCTGCCCCTCCCTGCATACAAAGACGAGCCTATTGTCGAAGGTGCTTTGCTAGATCTAGCAGACTTTTTGGCACCTCCAACCCTGCCTGCGGCCGAGTCGCTTTCAGAGGACCAGGACCTGATCTGTTTTGAGGAAGCCAATCCTGCAAGTCCTCAAAAGGTGCGTTACCAAGCCTGGCTCAGGTGCTCGGTGGCTGGCACGTCGTCTCACAATTATCCTCTGTGCCTTGTGTTGTTGAAAACAAACAAAAAACCAACCAAACAAACGATCAATCAAACACAACTTTGAATTCAAACCCCAAGGAGCTCATAGCCGCCTCAAAGGCACAGACCACCCCTGCTGACGTTGCACAGAACTTGCGCTCAAGTGAACCCGAAGACGTCCTGGTGTCATCGGATTCAGAGTCTGAGGACGAGGTTTTTTTTGGCCCGTGTACAGTTCAGGAGAAGCTCGCCTGTGAGCTCGTAGAGGTACCGCCTACCCCAAACATGGCTATTCGTGGTACGTACCCCAACGCCTGGCTGGAGGCGCAGTGTACAGAATGACGCTCCTTTGACTCGACCAATTGGCTCCCATATCGCGTTGGTGATGCATATAGGGGCGTTTACTCCACGGCCATCACGACCATCCTCGGTGTGCCCCTCAACGACCAAACACCAGCGCTTATTGCGCGTCCATCAGGACCACGACGGACAGATGCCAATCTGTGCCATTGCTTCTTTAAGCATCGCCGAAACGCACCCCAAGGCACAGCACGTGAGCGCTGAGGAGGATGGCAAGGCAACAGTTGCCCGGGGCGACACGAAGAAAGCCAGCGGAAATGGTGAGGCAAGCGATGAGGAGGAGGATGACGACGACGAAGAGGACGACGAGATCTTCTTTGGCTCAATTACGGACCGTGAGGTCATAAAGGGCATGGCTGTTGTGCGCCACGAGCTCCAAAGTGGCTGGAATGAGGAGAGAGAAGCATCGCAGGAGGATGCTGCACCTGTGGCGGCGGATCACGATGATAGCCCATCTGAAGAGTCGGTAGCCCCTCCCAAGTCACACATTCCGGCGCCTAGCTCTCGCTTGCCTCGCGCACCCGGCCCGTCGCGTGCCTCCGGCCTTGCACAACCTACACGGCGACCCGCCCGCAGTCGAACCGCTATGCAGCATGGTGTTGCTCCTGCCATTGATGTGATCAACGTGGAAAAGGCGGCCGCAGAGAGTGCAGACGTCCTTGCACGCTTGCGAGCACAAACCCTGCGCTCAGTGGTGCCGGCCGTCCCCAGCCTGGGGCTAGCGCCCATTGTCCACACCCCGCCGCGCGATGGATCCGCCTCTAATTCCACACCTCACCAGGGCCATATGAGAAATGCAGCAGACACATCTCCAGCGCGCGCCGAGGCCGAGGCTTCAGCAGAGACACAAGCTGTGCAAACCGTTTCTCAGAACCGAGCACAGCGCCAGCCACAGTCGTCCAAGCTTCAAAAGCCTGGTACAGCACTACCGTGCTCGCGCCAACCCACGCGTCAATCTTCCTTGCGCAAACCCTCGACTCATTCATCAAGGGGACAGGCGCCCACAAAAAGTGGCCTGCCTGCGACCAAGCGTTTCGGACTTCAGGAAGTTACTAATCAAGGCCGTTCCACCACGACTACTAAATCAAAGAGCTCTCGGGCAGGCTCAGGAGCTATCTCAGCGACTGCGCCAGGTGTGCGCACCAAATGCCAGCCGAGCTTGACCGACTTTCCCTCACCGGTATGCCTTGAATGAACACTGTTGGCCAGTCCTCCTATCCTTGTTTCAACTCAACGTGGTATGCCTGCACCCCATCGGCAGGTTCTTGGGGCCAAACCGAAATCCTGGAAGATTTGCCATTCGCCGGGTGCTTCTAAAGATGCCAAGTCGACCACTGCACGCAAGGTTTGTATCCGTCGTCGTGTTAACACCGGCCTGGAGACGGGGTTGATGGGTTTCACCTTGTCTTACTCGATGCATGATCAACTTTCGCACATCCATAGCCGGGCAAGTGGTCACCAGTGAAGAAAGCGCGAACATTTGACGAAATTCAGCAGCTCTACTTCTAGAATCAGTTCGTCTTTGTGTGTGTGCGGATCGAGTTGCGGAGCATGTGTGATTGAACTTTGGCGAGACCCATGAGACCATGGAGACACCATTTCAATTTTTGTTTCGTTCTTCTTGAGTTTGCAAGGACATGGTTGTCTGTCTGAGCAATTGTTTTCAAGTTCATCAAAACATTCTTCTTCTTCTTTTTTTTTTGATTGTGAGTGCGAGCTGGCTTCGCCAACGAGGCCAAGTGCCAGCCGACCCACTCACCCAAAATTGAGACAGAAAGCTAAGGTGGTGCATCGGCCAGTTTACATGAAATCGAGATCATCTCCGTAGTCGTCACCGTAACCATCGCCATCAAGGAAACCGGCCACTGACGAAGCCGCTCCCTGCCAGGTGTGTGACGGGAAATGGTGTGCGATGAGGGGAATACGCGTGAGAGGCAAGGAAAATGAGGGAGCATCAAAATTAGAACCGGGCAACATACACGGCTGGCCTGGATCTGCGCTTTCTTCGGCTTGGATTTCGTCTTCTTGTTCTTCTCAGTCTTGGCCTTCTCGTTGGCCAGCACGTTGACCGATTTAATGGCTTGGCGAATTTTCTCCGAGGAAGCATCTGCGCAAAGCCAGAGTGAAAGACAGGCACCGGATGCCAAACACAAATACTCCTCACGGGCGAGATATCAAAGCACGGTGTAAGACTGATTTTAGCGTATGATTCGTACTCTCGAGAAGGTCACGGAAGAGGGCGTCCACAAAGTCCAGGTAGTGGGGAGAGACCTGTTGTACACATGTAATGGTGCATGAGCATGATGGGTACGCGGGTCGTTCCCACGCACAGAAGCGACTCACGTCGTATTTGCGAGCCTTCTTCACAATGGCACGAGCAAACTTTTCGAAATCCTCCTACAGATGATGCAGCAGTGAGTGTGGCTGCAGTCTGTGGACAGATGAGCACGGTTGCAGAGACAAGGGGGCAGACTGACCTTGGTCTTGGGCTGCATGGCCTCAAAAAGCACAACTTCCTCCTCTGAGCAGTCCAACGGCAGGGTGGTGAGGCACGAAAGCGAGCAAGACACGGAAGAACAAAAGTCTGCAGCCGTGGACGCTGCCGCGCTCTGGCTGACCTTCTTCGTCGCCACCAAAAAGGTCCTTTGCGGCATCCATGTGAGACTCTTCCACCTGCCTGCACAGCACAAATGGATTGTTTAAAAAAAAGGGGGGGGGGGGGGAGGGCGGGGGAGAAAGCCGTGCAATCCACGGAAAAAGACCCACTCGCCCCTCCACGCACAGACAGAATGCAAAGGAGGTAAGTGGTGCACGTTTAACTAACCGGCGCTCAACAATTTTGGCAGCAGCGCGTTCCTCGGGCGTCAATTCCTGTTCGGCCTGAGCCTGTTATTGAAGAGGAAAGTGTGAGAGTGTGCATGATGGTGCAAGAGAGCAGAACGGCAAGCCTAACACATCAATATACCAGTTCTTCGGCGCGCGCGGCCTCGGCAGCCTCACGCTCGGCCAGGATTTGCTTCAGTTTCTTCTTCTTGGGAGCCTTCTTCTGTGTCGGGCCCTCTGGGAACAGATACCAGAACGCAGTTTTTGGCATGGCAGCAAGCGTGAGCTGTGGTTAAAAAAAAAAAAAAAAAAAGCCGGCGGCACAAGAATGACTGGAGTGGGATTGCCCAGGCCGTGGACGTACGAGCCTCAAGGCGAGCGATGACTTGCAAAAGCTCCTCGCGATCCATGTCATTATACTTGCTAGGAGGCTTGGAAGCAGGGACCAGCTCTTGGGTCGTCTGTGATCATCTCCGTGCCGTCATCGATCGATAAGGGAGCCACAGTCAGTGAATAGCGAGGAGAGAGATGAATGGGCGGGAAAACATGAGATGACACGAAATATTTGGACGCACCGGCTCGGCAGCCCCGGGCTCCTCATCATCCCACTTGGGCTTCTCCTCCACCTCGGCAGCCTCGGCCTCAAAATCGGAAGCGTCTGTTGGTCAATCAATCCCATAAGCGCGAAGGCGGGGCTGCTTGCAAAGCTGCAGCATTCCTTCTCCACCACACCCTGCATAGATGACCCAAGAAGCCCTCAAACACGTACCCCAATCACTCATGTTCTCGGTTCCAAAAGGTCGCAAAACGCTCAACAGGCCTCTGATCCAGCTGCAAAGGTCTAGTCCGGGAAATGACGAGAAGACGAGCAACACACACACACACACACACACACACACACACACACACACACACACACACACACACACACACACACACACACACACACACACACACACACACACACACACACACACACACACACACACACACACACAACGCAACACAGCTTACACGTGAACTGGTCGCTCCATCCGCCGCGACATCAGTGAGGGGGTTTGGAATAATGTAGTTTATTTTGTGGAGGTGGTGCAGAGCACCATAGTCGAAGCAACGAGAGGTGGCTGCGCAGCTCTTGGCACACGGTTGGAATAGGCAACGACGGGTGAAAGACCAATGAATTTGGGCTGCTTTGGACCCAACTCGAGCACTGACGGGAAAACTCGCCGCACAGCAGCGAGAGGACTATGGATGAGGCAGTTTTTATTCGACCGTCCTGCCAACAAAGGAGACGCCTAAAGCACGTAGAGGCGGGTGGCTTGCGATAAGGAGAAGGTGTCGCCTGTTAAGGGGTCACGGAAGGAACCTGACGCCGCGGCTTCTTCACGCAGCCCCTGCGAAAATCAGAAGTGCAAACCATGAGGAGCGGTCAGGTCATGACGGCGGGGTGTACAGACAGTTGATGGGCCGCCGACCTCTCGAGAGTAAACGTTGCCGTTGGGGAGAACCATGGGTGGATTGTTTTCATCCATGCGCACTCCTTTCAGCCGACAAACGAGCACACTTTGGGTATGGAGCGCCACGGGCAAACGCTTGGCCAAGTGCTGAAACAGGGGCGAACAAGTCTGACAAAACCCAGCCATAACCAGTGGAATTGTCAGGCAAGTAAAGCCGTTGGCACGCCAAGCAGGGACACACATGAAGGCCCGGGGCGTGCGTGTCCATCTAGTCAGCCAAGCCGCACGCACCGGGCAGTCGCTTGATTTGCCTGGAGCACAAGCAGCTGTGTGTAGGCCGGCCAGACCGAGCGAAGCAAGCAGAGTTAAAGGGGCAGGTCCCGTATTGGCCTGAAGCACGACGAAGGCATTGCGCCGGAACCGGTCCACCAGATCATGCCACCGCTCCTCGTTCACAAAAGGCTAAGGAGAAACAAGAAAAGAGCACGCACAGTGAGAAGAAAGGCACTTTGGTTGGACGAGCTGGTCATGTCCTGTGGGCCCGTGGATAAGTAAAACGAAGCAATGAACCTCGAGAAGGCGTCGGCCGCTTTCAGAGCCCTTGGGCGCCAACAGAAGCATCATCAGTCTTGATATTTCCACCATTTGCTAAGGGAAAAGACAAAGAAGACACGTGGCAGCTTTTGTGAATAAAACGGGCAGCCAACGCTGGCAGATGATAGCGTCCAACAGAGCATCGGGGGCCGGTGGTCATGACGCACTGCTTCGCCGTATGGAGCCAGATGATTGTGAGCATACTCGACGGCTTGGGCGAGGTCCTCGTTTTCAATCAGCTGCATGGTGTGGCAGCCAGGGTGGCCCTGAGTCAGGAGGGCTGCTTGCATACCATGGTTAAGAAAACAGACGCATACAAAAACGCTCAAACCTGAACAAAGCGTTGGGCATGAAGCTTAAAGGGCAAGGTACTCCGCTTTTTCTCGAGCACGGCAGCATGGTCCGCACACCAAGCTAGGGCCGACTCGAGATTATGGCTTTCAAGGGCCTGAACAACGGGCTGCAAACGGCAAAAGGTGTCCTGGTCTAACAAGGCTTTGACCTGGCTGTGGTCAGCCAGGGCCATGGCCGTGGTGTAATGGCCTTCGCGGATGAGATGATCGATCATGAACTCTCGCAGAGTTGCATCGCTCAAAGTTTCGCTACGATGGAGGGGGGAAATGATTGATGCACGAGACCAGCTCATGAGGGATAGTCGTGCCGTCGGCAGATGAACCGAGCTGAGAAGGTCCTCACCAAGACGCTTCGGCTTGCGCACGCTCCACCGAGCGCCTGAGCCGCTCTTTGAGTGCGCCAAATTCTTGGATGTCTTTCTCAAGCTATCGAGGCCAACGGTGATGGTGGGCGAATATTTCTTGTGATCGAAACAAGATGGCGATGTGGCGCGCACAGGCAGCGCAGCGCGGCTGACCTCGATTTGCAGCTTGCGGACCAAAGTGCGCATGGGGGGTTTCCCAGCAAGGGCAGACAATTTTTTGGGGGGGGCATCAACACGTTTAGCCAGGGTTTTGACCTGTTTGTTCAGTTTTTGGGGGGGTCCCGGGGGAAACCCCCCCCCCCCCCCCCCCAAAAAAAAAAAAAAAAACAAGAATGCGCAACGCGTCAGCACGGTCCGATCCCAACAAAGAAAAGAGCCCGCGAACCAGACAGCACATAAAGTGCAGCCACAAGATCCGGCCGGGACATGAACAACAAACGATGGGTCAAGACCAGCTGGGGGATGATACGTCTGATAGAAATTACCTTGAGCGGAGCTGTAAAGAGCGCTGCCGTCGCCATGATGGCGTGGTCGATGCAGCCTGTGCAACCTTTTGCTTCCTCCCTCGACACCAGCGTGCTTTTGGTGCTAGCCAACCCAATCTGGTTTTCACTTTGCCAAGCAGTCCGGGACAACTCAACCCACCCCGCCCGGATGGCAGCCCTGGCCTTCAATGCCCAACAACAACCTCGCACCCTCAAGCCCCCACTGTCGCTTTTGCTGGAGGCCTTGCTTGGTGAAACGCAGCAGCAAACAACAACAACAAGTGTCAGTCAGTTCAGGCCAACAGGAAAGTATTTTACTTTTAAGTTGGGAAATTCAAAGTATTTTACTTAGAGATGCGCTGCGTTGGCTTTGTGAATGTTTCTACGGTTTTTTTTGGTCCCTTGACAATACAAAAAGTATCGCAAGCGAGAACAGTGGTGCCAGTCGATGTTCTTACATTTAGTAGCATGATACTCAGCTTTTCTTTGTTGGACTTTTGATGTGACTCCGATCACCGTCGTTTTTGTTTAAGAGAAGGCACTTTGTGCAGCACCTGCTAGTCCAAGACAGCGCTCCCACCCTTGACTTAATGCTGTTGATATCCAACTTGTTGTCGCTGCTCCTTTGCCTCTACTGCTACTGCTGTTGTTGTTGTTGTTGTTGTTGTTGGTTGTTGTTGTTGTTGTTGGTACATTTCTCCCTTTTGTTCGTTCGTGTTCGCAAAGGTAAAGGTCTCTGGGACGTCGCGCCCACTGCCCCCTGCCTGCCAGTGCCTGCCGGCCAGTGGTTCAATGGGCTATGGCTTGAGCTCTTGGTGTTCTTCTTGTTGTGATGGTGGTGAGGGGGCAGGGGGCGCTGATCATATGCTTTTGGCTGATCAGAGGGCTGTGCTCAAAGCTTGTTGACGCATCCAGTTGGCTGTCTTCTGACACTCACAGTGACACGGCTGCTGTTGTATGTGCATAGGCACGGTTCGAAATGGCTGCTCCCGCTCGTCCTGCCAAGGCTGGTGCCAAGCCTTGGATCAAGGGTGATGTCGATGATCTGGCCTCCTTGGCCAATCTCGATGATTCCATTCTCCTGGAGGAGCTCAAGACTCGCTACTTTGCCAACAAGATCTACGTTGGTGCTCGCATCCCCTCCCTCCCCCTGTGGTATATACTACTACACTGTCATCCCCCCGCTCCCCGGTCTTCCCTCACTGCAGCCCACCAATGCCAATGCCCCTACCCCGGCTTTCTTGCCCATTCACCCGCTAGACGTATGTTGGTGACATTCTGGTGGCCATCAACCCCTTTCAAGACCTGCCTCTGTACACCAAGCAGGTTGGCGTTTGCTGGGTCTTCCCGCCCATGTTGTGGCTTTTGTTGCCATCGTGTCCTTGCGGCTGGCCTGATCCATAAACTCTCCCATAGATCAAGGACCAGTACCATGACATTCCCAAATCCGCGGCTGCGCCTCACGTCTACGCCATTGCGGACCAGGCCTACCACTCGATGGTGCGCAACCAATGCAGCCAGTGCTGTGTCATCAGGTCCGAACTGCCTCCACACCGCTCAGTCTCGTCTCGTTGTGTCATCGTCCACACACTCTTTTCATCATCACAAGACGATCAAACCAACCCGTTCGAGCCACCACATTGCTTCCTGCATCACCAGTCTCGCTACAGCCCTCACCTCCCCCATTGGTGCCACAGCGGTGAATCAGGCGCTGGAAAGACAGAGAGTGCCAAGCTTCTGATGGGCCACATTATCGATCTCTGCCACTCGGGCTCGGATGGCGCTCAGCTGAGAGGCGA